AGTCATGATGCTCTCTTTTGACCCTACTAGAAACCTATCAGTCTTCGCTGTTAGGTAAAAAACCTCGTAGGGCCTTGTGAAAAGGGAACTTTGAGGGAGGGGTTCTTGCAACATTGCTGATGCGTCTGAGGTTTACACTGGTCCTCCTCTCCCTTTTCCTCCTCCTCCTCCTCCTCCTCCTCCTTCTCCTCCTCCTCCTCTCTCTCTGTCTCTCTCCCTCTCTCTCTCTCGAGCCTTCCACCGCTTTGGGCGCGCAGACTGGGAGTGCCACTCCCGAATCGTCACGCCCTGTTCTGTTTTCCAGACGTAGTCTTTCCGACGACGACGACGCTGGGGAACAGTTTTTCGCTACCCCCGCTTCTGCAAGCGACTCCTCCCGCCAAAGAGGCGCTGGCAGCGGGCGCTTGTAGACCCGCCCGCGGACGAACTCATCGCCCGAAGTGGTGAGCTCTCTCTCTCTCTCACTCTCTCTCTCTCTCTCTCTGATTTTCTCTCTCAATCTCTCTCTCCCTCTCTCCTTTTCTCCTTTTACCCTCCATGCTCCATGTTTTCCCCCGCATCGCAACGAAGACACAACGGTTCAAACGCAAAGAGGATCACCACAGCAAGACTGCGCCACCACGCGCGATTGAGGAGCGTCTGGAGAGCAAACGCGGGAACTACACGAGGAAGAGGACCGAGACAGGAGAGAGAAGGTTGCTGGCGCTGTGCGTGCATCCCCGCATGTCCCCGCCGACCATACATATAATAAGGCAGCGCACAACGACGGACGGAAGAAACGTGAACATCAGTAAGGAATGCAAGTTACAGCCAACCCAGCCCCGCGGCTGATAGCAAGTCGGCCCGAATTGCTAGCGCACAGGCGGCGAAAGCAAGACGGGGAGGAGAGGAGAAAAACCCGAGAAGGGGGAAAAACAGCACATGCACAGCCGACAGGCTTCACGTGCAAGCGAAGAGAAACAGATGAGCAGACAGGCCGCGCGCCAAAGCACAGAGTGGCCTCGACAGTCAAGTAGTATGGTTGGGAAACGTGCAATAGAATGCGCACGGGGGGCCTGGGGCACCCCAGTCAAGCCTGAACCTCTGAGGCGGCAGCCAACCAAGCCCGTGGCAAGAAGGCACGGGGTCAGCAGCCCACGGCCCCGGGGAGGCCGGGCTCGACATACAAAAGAAACAACCCGGAGCACCTCGCATGCAAGAGAGAGAAAGAGAGAGCGCCGGAAAACGTCCTGGAGGGAGGGCCCTATGAGAGCCCAGCGGGGGCGCCGGAGCACCAGAAGGCTCACTCGTTGTAGCTACCGGAGTGGAGGAAGCGACGCATATAGTCCAAGAAGCCTTCTTCACGAGTCTTCCACCATGGTAGGTTCTGGGCCAACACCCACCGTTTGGAATCGTTGTCGGTGTCGGCCACGTCATGTAGATATGATACAATGTCATCATGCCACAGCTTCTTTTGCCCGCCATGTCGGCGAAAGGCTGGGCGTAGGTCGTGTGTACATGGGTCCCAGCTTGCACTCAGTCGTGTCCACCTGTCGTGATCGTGGTTGGCCACGCGTGCTGCGAACGCCCATTTTCGCTTGAAGTATACGTCGGTCCAATCGTCGACTCGTGCTCGTTTGGCGTGTGCCAGAGCGGTGGAGATACGTCTCCGTATGAAATGAACCCAAGACTCAGATCTATCGTCGTTGTCTCCGTCGGTTGCTGTTGTCGGTGCTGGTGTCGGTGTCGGTGTTGGTGCTGGTGTTGCTGTCAGCGCTGGTGCTGTTGTCGGCGCAGGTGCTATTGTCGGTGTTGGCGCTGTTTTCGATTGGTGCTGGTGCTGGTGCTGGTGCTGTGTTCGGTATTGGTGCTGTGCTCGGTGCTGGTGCTGGTGCTGTTGTCGTCGTCGTCGTCGTCGTCCGGTGCAGTTGTCGGTCCTGGTGTCGGTGCTGGATTCGGTGTCGTTGACGTCGACACGTGTACCGTTGTTGGTGTTGCAGCCGGCCCGAACCCCGAACTGTCTGTCTGCTTGCTTCCAGCGTGTTCCGTTCTTCTCGGCGTATTTATGATCAGTCGGAACATTTTCCGTTGTGTTCGTTGTAGCGTGACGAGCATATCCTTGGTGAGTGTCCACGAAGAGCAACCGTACAAAACTCATGGTGTGATCGCGCCGCTGAAGAGTCGGAGTCTGCTGTGCAATGGGAGTTTTTGTTGGTAAGTTCGCACCGTCATTGGTGAAACTTCGACCATCCCGCGGCGGTCCTGTTTTTCAGCTCATGTCCGTGGAAGTCGTGGAACGATAACTTTCTGCCCAAGTATTTCGTATTCTGGTCGTTGGGTAGAGTGTTTATGCGTGCGCCATTTAAGACAATGTGCGTGATTGTTCTGCCAGCCCTCCGGCTGACGTTGGTGAGAATATTGGTCTGGTGGGGGTGTAGTGAGAGTCCACAGCAGGATGGTTTGCTCTTCAAGTCGCGCAACAAGCATGTAAGTTGGCGAAGGTTCGGGGCGTACATTTATAGAATGGAGTGCCTGCTAGACTCTTGAAGAACTGGAAACGCCCAAAAGGCTTCAAAAAGGCTCAAAGAGCACTCTGGCGTGTAAGCTTGGGAAAGGTATAAAAAGGCTATTAAAAAGATGGGCTAATGTTGCGGACACCATGCGCAACAATTAAAGTATCCTTTGCCGCCACGTGATCAAGGCTCCTGGCAGCGGCGGTCACCGTCGCCGTAGCCGCGGCGGTCATCGTGGTCGTCGCCGTCCTCCTCGCTGCCACCGTCGTCATCGTCGCTGCCGTCATCTCGTCGTCATCGACGAGACGATGGAAGCGACGACGACGACGAAGGCGACGACAACGACGGCGACGGCGACGACAACCACGACGACCACCGCGGCTAGGGCGACGGCGGCGATGACAACCTCGGCCACGAGGCTTGACCCAGTGGCGGACAAGGCTGTTTGATGTTGCGCGTGGTATCTGCAACTGCCGTCCATCTGTATCATATCGTATTTGCTGCCCGCTTGGGCCTTACGCGCCAGAGCCCCCTGTGAGCATGCGAGATGACTTTTGATCATTTCCGGTTAGCTGATCGCCGCCGTCTAAATAGTGACGCCCAGGGTAGGATGGGGCAGAGTAGAACGCTGTAGACGAAGGCGGGGTAACGTAGGGTAGAGTAGAGAGGGGCGATGGAGTTACAAGTACAAGAAGGAAACACACATAATGCAAGGGCAGGGCAAGGCACAGTAGGGCGCATCGAAGTAGAGCAGGGTAGATTATATCAGAGTAGCAGTAGGGCAAGGAAGGGTAGGATAGGTCAGGGTAGACTGGAGTTGAGTAAACTAGAATAGCAGGCGCATAGACACCATAGTGGGCCAGGGCGGGGCAGGGCAGGGTAGAGCACGGAAACGCCGCGGACACAGGGCCAACATACAATACACCAGCGCACGTGCGATCCAAGAGGGGGCCAAGCCCAGGGACCCGAAAGGGCAATCCAGACGGTGCTAAACGCGAAGCGTCCTGGAGTAAAGCGCATCGTCGGTGCCGAAGGCGAAAACCTCTGGAATTCGCCGGCCCAACGGGCCAGGGCGTGCTAAGATCTCCGGTAACTGGTTAACAGTATTAACAGTATTTCTAATTCGCGCGCGCGGGGCGGCCCCTGGGGGTCCCCCGGCGAAAAGTACCCCGACCAACGCCCGACCAAGTCTACTCAGAGATGGTTTTCCTTCTGGGTGCGGCCTCTCAGGCTCCCCAGAGCGCGCTCAGAGTGCCCCAAGAGGCCCCCAAGACTGCCCAAGAGGCCCCCGAGACGCCCAAAGAGCGCTCGAAGACGCCGAAGATGACCCCAAGACGGCCCAAAAGGCCCCCAAGACAGCCCAAGAGGCCTCCAAGACGCCCCAAGAGCCTTCCAAGAGGCCTCCGAAGAGAGCCCCAAGAGGCCAAAATCGTTGATTTTCATTGGTTTGTTCGATGTTTTTTGTGTTCTGGCTTTTTCGGCTTCCGGACGCTCCAAGACGGCCCAAGAGGCCCCCAAGACCGCTCCAAGACGGCCCACGAAGCTCCCAAGACGGCGCCGAAACGACCCAAGAGAGCCCTCAAGACGGCCCAAGTGCCGCCCAAGACGGACCAAGAGGCCCCAAGACGGGCCCAAGAGGGACTCAGGAGGGATACCGAGAACTCAAAAATGGAGCCCTCCGTCCCAGAAGGCGCCCAGGAGGTCCCAAAGAGGCCCCAAGAGGCCTCCAAGAGGCCCCAAGATGTCGCCAAGAGGCCCCAGGAGACTCCCAGGAGGCCCAAAAGAAGCCCCAGAAGGCTTCAAACATGTCTCCCAGGCGCCCCCGAACGGCCTCTCAACAGACCCCAAGAGGCCCCCCAAAGAAACATCTTGACGACGACTCTATTTCGCCCCATCGAGAGACGACCCCCAGGGAACTGCTTCACCATCAAAACTCCCCACGCAACGCGTCCGAACGACACCCGCCCCCAAGAGCGCAACATGGGCAACGAACACACAGACAAAAACCAGCGATGCCATATCACGGGCCGGCGGAATGAGCGAAGCGATTCAATAAAGAACCCAAGACGGCCCCAAGACGGCCCTAAGACCCAAGACGGCCCCAAGACGGCCCTTAAGACGCACCCATGTCTTGGAAAGCAGCCTGGCGGTGCTGAGCGCGAAGCGTTAAGGGATATTGGGCACACTTCGGAGCTGAACGCGAAAGCGTCTCGATATGCGAGGCATCCCTTCTCTGTTTTTTATATAAAAAGCTCTAAGGGTCAAGAAGATGCCGAAACATGTCTCTTCCACTCCAGCAACAAGAAACTGCACGTAACTGCACGCAGGACTTGTCTGCGCACTTCGGTGGATTCGGCCACCTCTCATGATTGCACTGCCAGTTGCACAGAAGATCAGAGTGTCTGCCTTTCTCCATGCAAGTGCGGCCAAAAATATTGAACTGGACTCGGTCTGAAAATGATAATCAATCCGAGCTTGAGTTTGTACTCCGCGACATCCGTTCACGGCCTGAAATTGAGAGTCAACCCTGCCTTGAACTTGAACGCCGCTGCGGTGTGCAAGAGGGTCGGCTCAACCTTGTAGAACCTGAGCTTCCCCTGGACTTCCTGGAGAGAGCTACGCAAGCTCACCTTGTTCGAAACCAGCTTATCGTCAGTGAGGCTTTACGTGATATCGGCCATGGCTGCGATGGCAGCGCACTGCTTCACGTTGAGCTGCGCTTTCTCCACGAGTTTGCATTTTGGGTCCGCTGGTACCTGGTACTCCGAGCGCTTGGTCAAGTAGATACTCACAGCCTTTCCAACACGAGCGACGACTGTGACTACGACGACGGCGACGACGATGACGACGACGACGAAACGAAACGAGATTTTTGCCTCGACGGGCAAGGCAGAAATCCCCTAACAAGACGACGACGACGACGCTGACGACGACGACGGCGACGACGAAGACGACGACGAGTCCGAAACCTTGTTCAACTCGTCGCAAAGGTTGTACACTTCGGCGGTCGCCAGCTCCTTGAAGGTGTCTGCGATCTTGACGATGTCCGCCCAGCTGCTGGTGTCATTGACGTGCAGCTTGTAAGTGGAGTACGCGGGGCTCTGGTCCAGGGTCGACTGCAGCTTCTCCGGAGCCTCCGTCACCGCGTCCTTCCTGGCAGCCATCTTCAAACCGACCCGCCTGCGTGCAATGTCTCGGGCAGGGAAACAAGCTCATGGTATGTATCTCTGGAGGCAAGGCCAACTTCGTCGAGGCTAGCGGTGATGTTCGAGATGGCGTTGGTGCAGGTGGTCAGATCCGTCTTGGCCTTCACGAAGGCCCTCCACAGCTTCTCGTTCGGATCCGCCGTGAGCACCTTCTGCATGTCGACTTCCGCTCCTTCAGATCACCTATAAACTTCGAGAGCGCGCTCCTGAGCGACGAAGTCTTCTTGATCAAGTCCATGTGAGACGTGAGCTTCTCGCGGTCGGAGTGGAAGATGGAAATCCTGTTCAGCACGTCGGTGTACACGTCGAACTTGTCGCCCAAGGTAGTCTGGATAGCATCCGTCTTCATCAGGAAATCCCAGAAAGCTGAGATACAGCGGCCTGAAGATCATCGGTAGCTGAATCCGCACTCAGACTGAGACGCTTCACGTCAGCGTGCAAGACTGAAATGTCGATAGTCCCCTCACGGAACTTGTTCATGCTGCCGATGATTGAGGTGGTCGTGGTTTCCTGATCTACACTCTTGATGGCGTTGATTACCCTACCCTTTAAACGCGAGATGGCATCATCGAGCTGGCACACCTGATAGACCTTCTCGACGACCTCCGAATAAGACTCGAGCAACGCATGGTAACGAGTCGGGTCATTGGCAGTGTCGCCAGGGAAATCCTTCTCGAGAGCAGCAGCGGCTGCCTTGTGAATGACCTGCACCAGCGAGGTCTCGAGCATCTAGATTGACTCAGCCCCAACCTGGCGATGTAGTTGGGGAGACGATCGATCAGTGACTTGACCCGCACTGGGAAGGCATTCACATCAATCGTCTTCGAAAGAGCCTCGACTTCGGACAAGTCCGGGGCGACTAGAGGCGACAGCTCCAGGTAGACCTTCTCCCTGGAGATCACGTTCTTCAGGAGCGTCTTCCAGTGGGGCGACTGCCCCAGAGCAGCCCCGACCTGCGCCCAAGCGTCTGCGGCCCCTGCTTGGCCGCCAGCAGCCTGCAAGGTGCCGATGTCGGTGTAGGTGTCTTTCTGCGCGGACTTCCCGATGGTTTTCGAGGCTGCCGTCTGGATCGGCTCGCATATCTGCTTGACCTCGACAATGGCCTGAGCGCAATCCTCGGAGATGTCGCATTCCTCGGGGAGCTGGAAGAATACCAAGGCCGTCTCGATGAAGTCGAGGACCTGTCGCTCCATAGGGGCGTCGCCCAGAATGAGCGGGATGAGGCAGGAGATCAGCACCTCCTCGACGAACACGGATGCCTTGCTGCTGCTGGGAAGTCTCGCCTCTGCAAGGCAGGGGTCACGGAACATGAATACTCTGGGAACAGCTCTAGCGACAGCATTGGACCACGTGCGGTAACGCTGACATGTTTTCAGCAATTGGGATCGGGGGCGTTGCGATGATTCCTGGCCCTTGCTCCAGACGTCGTAATCCTTTTTCCCCCCGTACTTGACAAGTTTGAGCTGAACGGCTGCAGGGATCACCGCCCCTGCCTCCGTGAGCTCCGCCATGTGTTTGTTCAAGGTATCTGGATGGAGCGTCTCCATTCGATCTCCTTAGCCAAGTTCACCAGGTGGAGGTGCTTCCTGATGGTCGGCAACTTTCCCTCTGGAACCTTCCCCAAGAGAACCTCTAGCTGATGAGGGCCCTGGCCGAGTTTCGCGCCAGCCATGATGCATGTCAAGTTCAGGTCGTGAATCCAATGCTCGGAGGTACCCTTCTGGAACTCGTTCGAGGTATTCTGGATATCCGAAGGAATGCCATAGCGGCCCCCAGAGGGAAGCACCGTGCCGCTGCTGCCGCGAAGCAAGCTGCCAGGCGTCCTTGGGCCCCTCTCGCTGGTAGGCGAAAGCTGAGGCGCGCGGCCCGTGCCCGAGACCGCCGAGTCGACGTAGCACGCTGTGCCATCCCTCGGGACCTCGAAGTCCTCGTCGTCGTCCTCGACGCCCTCCTCTCGTTCGTGGTCAGGCACGTCGCCGATGGCCAAAGCTGGAGGATTCCCTGACCCTGAGCCGCTTTGCACCCATGCCCCAGAACCCCTGGGGGAGGGCGCCAGCGCGGGAGGTACTTCGCTGACCCGCACGCGGCCAGCAGCGCGGGGCGAGACGTCCGTCAGCTGAACCCTGCCGCCGCCCAACTCCGCGCTCCTGTCGTTGACGGCGCCCACGGTCGGCAGCCGGATGGTCGAGAAAGCGCGCCTCGGATTGCTCGTGTCCCGAGCCTGGGCGGCCGTCACCCTGTCGGGCTGCGAGGCGAAGCAACCCATGCCATTCTGCATCAAGTTCTGCATCACGTAGTCGAACGACTCGCTGTGCAAGCGGAGCCTCGGCCAACTGTTGTCGTTCTCCTTGATGTGGTACACCGTGGTCTCAACGCCGTTCCGACCGCGCCACTTCAGGGGCCTGAGGCGCAACTGCTTCGGCGTCTTCTTCCACGTCGACACGACCTGGTGGTGGTTGGGCGCAAGGTAGTCCTCGAAGAGGGTGCCGCCTATCTGCGAGCCCTCGCCAGCCTCGATGCCGAAGGGCGCCTCGTCGCTCTCGCCTATGTTCATGGCCCCATCCATCTCCTGGGCGAAATTATCGCCCTCCTTCTTGTCGCGGACGACGTCCGCAAACGCGCACCCTGGAAGGTTGCGGCTGGCGAAGTCCACGCAGTCAGTGCAACCGAAGCACTCGAACGCATCCTCTGCCTTCCCACCCTCCCCGACCCTGGCCGTCGCAATGAACACGTCATCAACGAAGGTCTTGTGGCGGTCCTCGGGCGATTCGGGAAGCTACCCTCCTCCTCGTCCTCCTCCTCCGCCCCTCCTCCGTCTCGTCCTCAATCCCGTTATCCTCGTCGTCGTCATCGTCCTCGTCGTCGTCGTCGTCCTCGTCCTCCTCCTCACCGTCGTTCGTTATCCTCGTCGTCGCCCCCCCCCCATCATCGTGGTTCGTTATCCTCGTCGTCCGTTATCCTCATCGCCGTCGCCACCTCCTCAGCGTCGTCCGTTATCTTCGTCGTCGTCGTTAGTCATCTTCATCATCATCGCCCACCCGCCTCCCTTCTCCGCCTCAAACCACTCTGATTCGAATTGCGTTGGGGGGTCCCGCGGGCTCCTGCTCCCCAGCATCGCACAGGCCGCAGATGCGAAGAGCTCGCTTCCTCGCCCTCTTCTCGACTGGAGCAGCGGCGCCCTCGCTGCCAGACGCGGCTGCCGCTTGGCGACGCCTGGTTGGCTTCGCGCCGCGGTCGGCCATGACCGAAACGATATCTGGCTGGACGTTGAAGTGTTCCGACTATCAGAAACTCGACGGGCAGCGCCTGTCCTTAGCTCAGACACCCTCGGGCAAAAATGTGCCATGGCATGGCGTCGGAGGCGCCCTCGAAGGTTCTCCGAGTAGGCTTGCCTGAACGAGTCCTCGCTTATGTCCAACGCTATAGGACCATACCCCGTCTTGCCACGAGGACCCCTCTTCATCAAGTAGGCTTGCCAATGCGAGTTCTCGCGCATCCCCAAACAGTGCAGGAGCATAGTACCCACAGTACAAACGAACATCAACAGCTGGTACCATCTATTCCCTAGGTGGTACCAGCTGTTTACGCGTGCTCTGGCGTTGCCGCCCTTGTCGTGGGACATGTCCTTATGAGACGGGTGCGTGTGCTTCGTGGCTATCATAAGTGCGCGCTCGCTTGCTGCATGCGCGGTTGTGACACGTATGCTTTGTTGTTCGTATGTGATGTTGCTTTGTAGTACACCTCCACGCTGTATGTGTTGCTCGCGTGTGTTGCTGTACGCGCTGCTGATTTGTACACGTTGCCTGCATGTGTTGATGTCTGCGTGTGCTGCTGCCTCGTACGAGTTATTGTTCTTATGTGTTGTTTAGCTGTACTTGATGTGGTGTGCTGACCTCTTGCTCAGCGCAATCACTTGCGTCTTCCACATATGCGTTGCTGGATGATTCAGCACGGGCGCCTCCAAGCACACCTCAACTAGGTGCAATCTGGCGACACTGAGACTGCCGTGCATCCACGGCTGAGTATTTGTAGCAGGCTATCGCTGCTACGGAAGATTGGTGCAGGGCGCGCTGAGCCCAGACGGGACGTGGAGGGAGGCGGACCCAGGGACACACGATGAAACAAGCGAAGCAATAATAATGGGAGGGCATGAGGGGGGGGAGTACTTAAGATAAGGAAGGCTGGTAAAGAGAGCTGTCCTGCGCCTCGCTGCCGACTCAGTCGTCGGTGCTGCCCTAGGTCGAGCCGCTGCTGGTGTCGTCCGCGTCCTCCGCATCGTCCATGGTCCTAGCGTGGTCATCGCCCCGCCCCTGGTCAAACTTGAGAATGTTTCCTGCTATCTCTTTGATGTTGCCCACAACTGCTTCCACACTTTCTGGAAGCGCCCCCTCATTGGTGGTTCTAGATTACGCTTCCACAGAGGCTTCTGCTGCATGATGAGTGAGATCGGGCCTGCTTCAATGTAACACGGGGTGGTTGCTTCTGGCAAAATCAACGTTTGCTTGGCAGCTGGGGCCTCAGACCTACGGAAAAGACGACCGCAAGAACTCCAGCGCTGACTCCAACATAGCATGTTGTTCGGTTTTATTCCCGAGCTCCAGTGGTGACTCCAAATGCAAAGCCGAACATTCGCACGAGATGACCAGTCCTGCAGGAACTCCATGCGCGCGTAGATACGCACTGCAACACGTAAGAACTCCAGCGGTGACTCCACCTCCATATGAAAACATCACGTGTGCTTGTTTGAGTGGCCGTGCCGAGTTGCCAGGATGTCTCTGGTCAGCAAGAGAAATCTGGATTTGGGAAATACGCTTTCTCTCATTCCCTATCCCCCTCTCTCATTCCCCTTATTTCCTCTTGTCCTCCCTGATCCGTCCCGCTTGACCCCGAGAGGCAACGCAGTGACGTCCCGCATGTATTTCCCAAATCCAGATTTTTTACTCCCCGAGGCTCTCAGGTCTCGTAGGGACTCATGCGGCTCATGGGCTCCTCAGGCCCCGTAGGGACTTATGTGTCGCTGCTTTGGCTGGTTTCTCCATTATTCCATAGTAAACGCTTGTACCTACCTCCACAGGAAGACATTATTATTTTATAAACGCTATGGCTTACTGTTGCTATGTACTCCTACTGTATAATATGCCTTTGGTTGCTATGTGCGCCTGCTCGGCTTCGTTCGACGCTTAAGAATATTGATTTGCATATGTACACATGTATGGTTGATGTGTTGTGTGCTGTTTCGTTGCTGTTGTTCATATTCGTTGTTGTTGTTTCCCAAGGAAGGCTGCACTCACAGAGGAACACCTCATACTCGCAAGCGTAAGAAGTGTATACATAGCGAGTGTCTGGAGACTTGACACACGAAAGCGGCCTGAAGCGACTCTGCGAATGACTAGGCCCAAGCAGAACTTATCCCTCAGCTCCTGGACTCAAAATTTGACACGTGAGAGCTTCTCCACGAACCAACTTAGCAATCGAGGGAATCTGGGACACCAATGGCGTCGGCCCACATGGCCTGTTCATCCTCAGGGAGGGGGGGGGGGGGGGGCTGCGTGCCATAAATCTGGCCATCCTCCACCTGTGCGTCCATAACGGCTGAATGACGGGGGCGCTCCATATCCACACCGTAATCTTTAGCGAACAAGGCAGGGGCTGTTTCTTCTTGGTCACGGTGAGGCCCCAAGGCAGCTGCTGTTGCGCCCTCTTTAGTTTTGGCACCATCGTTATCCATGGAGAGGTCCGCAAGGCCATCTGCTGCACTACCAGGCGCACCTGCTGGACGAACGTGAGACTCTAGAGCTGTAGGCGCTGCGGCAGGCCACTGCGTGGTCAATGCTGGGTCAGGCTTCCGCTGAACATTTGACGACTGGCCTGGCTTCGGCTCGACCCCTGACGGCTGGCCAGGCTCATCATCTGGTGGCGACAACCACACTTCTGGGTGCCTCAACTGACCCATCTCGGTTAAGCTGCTGCGCTGCAACTTCACGGGGGGTTTGATGGCCTCCTCGCCCTCGTCCTGGAGCCTCTTGAGGAAGGCTCGCTGCTCCTGGGACGTGCGTGGCGCCTTCGACCTGACTACAACTTTCACGGGTATCTGGATGGCGAGTTCCGTCTGCCGTTGGAAACCGCGCAGCAATCCTTTCAAGTTTACCTTTAGCACGGGGCACTCGAAGCCGCCAGCACCATGATCGGCCGTGGTCGTTGAAGAAAAAAGTATACCTCACTGAATGGCTGGGCAAGTGCTCTGGCAAACGAAACGCGTTGCTTGATTGACGCAGGAGCTCGAGGAACAAATTGCGAAGCCGAAATCCCCTTGCACACCAGTTGCCTCGGGCCCGCTGTGTTATTGTGTGTGCATGTGGTGTGCGTGTGATTCTATGGCCAAATACATAGGTTCGCCAACTATCACAAGTGTAATGCAGCGTATAGAACGAGAAACCATCATACTATGTTCATGTAGTGCACATACGTAGTTAAAGTGTATATTCTTATTGGGGCCCTGGGGCCTTCCATGCCGCGGCGGCCCTCAATGGTTCCAAGACGGCCGCTGCTGACGCGCTCGAGCGAGCCCCACAACAGGTCACGCAACCAAGAACGCCCCAAGAGATCCCAACCACCCCAGACACCCAGAGAACATCATGCACACTTTAATCAGCCGCCCCCCGTTTGGGAAGACCCCCCGCCTGCCTCCCCAGTCCAGGGGTGGACCCACCCCCCTCCTTACTTTTGGAGGGCACCAGGCTTCGCACGCCTTCTGCGCCCCAAACGCACGAGAGACCAAAGGATTACCCAAGACGCCCCAGGAACCCCCAGACAGACCAGACACCCAAAGACACCCCAAGACAGACCCAGAACCCAATGCTTCAAGGAGCATCAAAGTCGCCCCAGAGACATCCGACAACGAAAGACGCCCCCACCCCATCGGGGCCCCAGACACTTTAAATAAGGATTACCAAAGACACCCCAGACACACCAGGCGCCCAAAGATGACCCAGACCCCCCCCCCCCCCCCCCCCATACACATCAGACACCCCAGGAAGCGCCAAGAAGCCCCAGACACCCCATACACACCTAACATCCCGTCGCCTCCCGCATGGGAGCGCCCGCCGCCTCCCCATTCTGAGGGTGGACCCGCGCCCTCCATATGTTGCAAGGCCCCGTCTGGGAAGGCTCAGACCGCCTGCGCCCTGTTCGGGGATTCAATGGGAATTGTTGTGCATCGCCCTGATGGCAAGAGGGGATCGCCTTGACATGTCAACATCCTTGTCTACCAGGGGCGCTCTTGCAGCTGATGTGAAACCTTTCCCTGGCGGGAGAAAAGGGGGTGGCGCCGTGCTGAAATGGCAAGGAACATGGATCTAGGATAAATGACATCTGTGGGCGCAAGGTTTCCGTGCGCCCCACCATGTAAGAGCTTCGCAACACAATTGCGCGTGGCATAGCTTAGCTTAGCTACCTCATGCCATAGCATTGCATTATGGCATAGCATATCCCCCATAGCGCCATGGCATTGCATTATGACATATCATGACATTGCATTATGGCATGTTCAGGTGCGATACCAAGAACGGGGCCCGACCCACGAGGACCTTAGGAGCCCTGAGCCACAAGCCCAGGCCCTAGAGCGAAGACTGTAATGGAAGAAAACCTGTTGCACGTTTTGGGGGGCCTCTTTTCCCCTCTGTCACAAATGTTGGGGGGCCGTGAACTCTGCGTAGGGGGGCCGCGCGATTTATGATGTTAATAGTAGCCAAGTGTGTT